CATCATCATCATCATCATCATCATCATCATCATCATCATCATCATCATCATCATCATCATCATCATCATCATCATCATCATCATCATCATCATCATCATCATCATCATCATCATCATCATCATCATCATCATCATCATCATCATCATCATCATCATCATCATCATCATCATCATCATCATCATCATCATCATCATCATCATCATCATCATCATCATCATCATCATCATCATCATCATCATCATCATCATCATCATCATCATCATCATCATCATCATCATCATCATCATCATCATCATCATCATCATCATCATCATCATCATCATCATCATCATCATCATCATCATCATCATCATCATCATCATCATCATCATCATCATCATCATCATCATCATCATCATCATCATCATCATCATCATCATCATCATCATCATCATCATCATCATCATCATCATCATCATCATCATCATCATCATCATCATCATCATCATCATCATCATCATCATCATCATCATCATCATCATCATCATCATCATCATCATCATCATCATCATCATCATCATCATCATCATCATCATCATCATCATCATCATCATCATCATCATCATCATCATCATCATCATCATCATCATCATCATCATCATCATCATCATCATCATCATCATCATCATCATCATCATCATCATCATCATCATCATCATCATCATCATCATCATCATCATCATCATCATCATCATCATCATCATCATCATCATCATCATCATCATCATCATCATCATCATCATCATCATCATCATCATCATCATCATCATCATCATCATCATCATCATCATCATCATCATCATCATCATCATCATCATCATCATCATCATCATCATCATCATCATCATCATCATCATCATCATCATCATCATCATCATCATCATCATCATCATCATCATCATCATCATCATCATCATCATCATCATCATCATCATCATCATCATCATCATCATCATCATCATCATCATCATCATCATCATCATCATCATCATCATCATCATCATCATCATCATCATCATCATCATCATCATCATCATCATCATCATCATCATCATCATCATCATCATCATCATCATCATCATCATCATCATCATCATCATCATCATCATCATCATCATCATCATCATCATCATCATCATCATCATCATCATCATCATCATCATCATCATCATCATCATCATCATCATCATCATCATCATCATCATCATCATCATCATCATCATCATCATCATCATCATCATTATCATCATCATCATCATCATCATCATCATCATCATCATCATTATATATTTCTTCGCATCATATGAATATCTCCATAAAGATATTGATTATTAATTCAAAATTAGAAGAAAGTTCGATCGCACCAAACATTTTTAAGAAAAATGGCAATGTGAGGGACTAAGCATTCTTTTCTTTGTTGTCATTGAATAGGTTTTCCCAACTACTCTTTTGTAAAAATAATTTTCTAACGTAAGAATATCGAGTAGAGTTCTTAAATTTATTTTTAGCTTAATATCTAATATATATTTTTATCATTTCTATTTAAAGTGATCCTTAACTCTTTTTTTTCGTCTATGACCACGTGTAAATAGTTAATGACAAGTGAGTTATTAGTGAATGAGGGGTAAGTTTGTCATATACGTGATAACTGTCCAATGAGAGATTGTCATGTGACACTTTCATCTTTCACCCAAAATTAGAATTTTACTATGGTGGAGACTGTTGTTCGAAGATGGAGGCGTAAGAGGCCGCATGCCGCGACAGGTGCTTGGTTCGTGATTTTGTTCTAGTGTGGTGGGTCTCTACGATTTAGATTTCGTTTTTTTTTTAATTTTGTAGGATTGATGGCGCATAGGAGAACACAAATATCAAGATTTAAGGCTTTTTGCGAGTTACGGTTCATGATTTTTGGATTGCAGGTTCGAACAAGTGGGGAAAATGTTGAGATTTAGGGTTTGCAATTAAGGATTTCGCGACGCTCTTGAACTAATACGGTGGCTGTCGCGGTAGTTAACAAGGATTTCGTGTGATGGCTCTCTATGATTTGTTTTTTTTAGGTTTGGTGGCCTAAAGGAGAAGACAAATCTCGTGATTTGGGGCTTTTTGTGAGTTAGGGTTCATGACTTTTGGGATTGCATCTCGCGATTTAGGGTTCGCGATTTGAGATTTCGCGATGCTCTCAAACTATTTAGTGGTTAATGAGGGTTTTGGTGTGTCGTTCTCTACGATTTTGGTTCTATTTTTTTTATTTTCCAGGTTTAATGGCACGAATGAGAAGACAAATTTTGTGATTTGAAATTTTTTGTGAGTTAGGTTTCGTGATTTTTGGGATTGTAGGCTCGTAGTGGCAGTTGCATGTCAATTTGCAAGGTTGAATGAGATGATGGTGGTGGACTGTGATGATTGACGACTTTCGTGGTAGTCTAATGATGAGACAGTTGTTCTGATAGTAGCTATGATTTTTGGTGGTGAGAGGTTGAAGACGATGACATGGCCATATTCAATTACCACCATTCTACCTCATCTTTGCTATATGAAAAACTTATACTTACTTTAATAATGGCTAGTAAACATTTTCATAAAAAATACCAAATTAAACAAAAATTATAAAAGTTAAAATCACTTTAAACAAAAAAAAATATTTTGAGCAAACAGAAAATAAGTACCTTATTTAAAGCTTTATTTTTTTTTGCTAGAAAAACGTTGAAGACATACCTTATATTACTATAAGGTAGTATATTGATTAGCTTAGCACTTGTAGACTATGATGATATGAAAGACTTACTAAATGTGTCAAAGACTTAAAAGTTAGATTTCTTTTTTTGTTTAATGACCATTTTGCCTCGGAAAGCGAAGAAAAGTGAAAACTAAAAGTACTTTAGATTACATCCCTCTTATGTATAAACATTCACATGGAAATGTTCTTTTAAAGGAGCAAATTATTAAATTACTTACTTTTCTAGATTTTTGTTTTCTTAAAAGTGAAGAGAAAGACGTGTCAAGAAAATTCCTTAAGTGAGAAAGTAATCAAAATCATAGCTACAATAACATTAAAAGATTACGAAAAAAAAGAAAAATTTTACATTAGCACCCTTAAGTTTTTCTACTCTGACACACAAAATAATATTTATAGTTGATTCTTCTTAAATTGTTTTATATTTTAAAATAAAAGTATGTGATGGATGAGTATTTCCTAAAATATGGATTGTTTGCCTACTATCACCATCCAAGAAAAAAATAATAGCAGAAAGTATGTTAATTAGATATTTGCCAAAATTTGTAACATAAAATATGTAACAACTCACATTTAGATAAACATAAATGTTTTTGTAGTTGATGAAGTGCGAGACTAAGAAAAAGAAAAAAAAAGTTTCATTATAAAGATATTTATAAGAAGATATACAATAAGATTAATTAAAAAAAATTATTCTAGACTTTATAGCATAGATTTCTAATATAAATGAATTACTTAAATTAAGAGATATTTGATAAAGAGTTGGTAGGTGGTCATAAATTATATATATAAACTATATATATGATGAATTTTATTGATTTTGTTTTTGTTATCATATAAAAATTATAGTAATATTAATGGTTAAATTTGTGTAGATTGGTAAGATAAACTTTAAAAAAGAATTTGTTCTCGAGGTCTAAGATGGGTGATATAAAAATTAAATCAACATTTTGAAGTATTAAGGGACAAACAAAAATTCAAATGAATAGAGATAAGTCTAATTTTAATAGTCTTATCTAAAATATTAATAACTTTTATGATAATTAACAAATAATATGATGGTTTAGTTGTCTAAAAAATCAGTTAGTCTACAACAACTCATAATAAAATCTTTTAAACTGAATATGATCAAACTTACATTCTATACACAGTACAAAACACTAAATATATGTACAATTTAGATGAAGTCAGTTTAAAAGAAGTCTTTACAAAAAAGTTGTAGATGTTATGCTATTGCAATAGTAGATTAAATCAGTTTTTAAGAGACTTTACTTACACAAAGTACATATACAACTCTAATTAGTATCATAGAAGGACAAATAAATAAATAAATAAATAAATAAACACAAGATAAACTATGATTATATCATAGAAGAAAATTGCATTTATAGTATTTTAACAGTGAAATCATGATAAAGTAGGAATATGAATATTTTTGTTGGATTAAAAAATTAAAAGCATAATAGGTTTGACGTAGTCAAACAAACAATGGTAGTGGCTAGTGCTGTTGGCAACGAAGATTGTCAAAATATTAAAGTGATTGAAAGAATTTGATGAACAGACAAAGGGATGGCGACAATGGTTGCTTTCGTGCCAGGAAATATCTAACACCAAACAAATTTTCTTCACCCCCTTTGGAAAAATAATCAACAATACATCATGAAATATTACATTTAATTTTGTCTTAGTTACGCTTCTAGACATCTAAATTAAAATATTCAGTTTTTTTTTTTATAATATGTCCTGGGTGCAAAATAATTATCGGTTTCACTTATGATTAATTTTAATTAAGAAACTTTACTACTGAATCTCTCTTAAAACGCTGTTTGACCAAAACATAACATAAATCAGAAATCCAACTTGTTAATATCAAAAACATTTTATTCCAATTCCATTGCAATCTTAATTATTTTCACGAGTCAAACTTTCCATACCTTAAAACATCCCCATACTACTGAGATTCAGTTTATACCTAAAAAATATGCAGAATATTTTTTCCACTTTATTACTTGATATCCTGCTCCAATCAAAATCATTTCAGAAATTCAGTTGTTCTTAATTTTGACAGTTTCTTCTTTTCATCCTCTCAACTTCACTTTTCCAGAACGATCAACCACCGAGAAATTCTTACAAGTATATATATATATATATATATATATATATATATATATATATATAACAGTGAGGATATGCAAAACATCTGAAAAAATTTATGAAAAACAAAAATTGAAGAAACCCTGTGCAGAGGAAGTGATTTATTATTGGCAATCTTACATGGAATTATTCTCAAGCACAAATTGATAAACTGAGAGAGTACAGATGATATGATAATACAGAGGCAGTAACAGTACAACACAATTGAAGTATGAATAACAAGACAGGGAAATGAAATTAGACTAAACAGTTGAGGATGGAAGACAACCTTAAAACAAGAAATGGAACTTTAAACAGTTAACCTCAAAACGAGAAACGAAATTGGAAGATGTTCTTAGCAGTTTCTAGTATATTCAGCACAGTTTTTGTTGGGGCCACCACCGTTTTAAGATGGGATGCAGCTGCGGTAACCTTGATTTTGTGGACAATTTACAGCTTTGTTGTTGCCGTTGCCTGTTTTGCCTGTCTGTGATTGGCTGACATCGTAGAGCATTCTTGCGGCATGAGAGCCAAACGAGAATTCTGATTCCAAATCGTTGGCGATGAGGCAATCCTCTGTGACACAGTTGTCGGCGTTGAGAAGGTTGTGGTGGATGAGAAGGATGAGGAGCACAAGCGAGAGGCCCTTCTTCATCTTTTGGGAACAGTGTTCTCACTGGACAAACGAGGTTATGGTTCACAGTGAAGACCTCTGTCGCTTTTGTACTGTTGGGTTATGCTAAAATAATTGAGGAATCTTCTTTAACATAACACTTCAAATTTGAATTCATTTTTTTTTCTCTAAATTTAAATACATTTTACTCTTTCAGCTTAAAAAAATAATAATAAATATAATTCATTTTAACCGGTTAAATAATATTTTAAATTTATATTTGATTTTTTTAAGATTATTTATCAAGTTTTAATTCAGATATTAATTTAAAATATCATTTAATGCTTAAAGAAAAGTTTGTGTAATTGAATTAAAATGATTAATTTATTTAGTTTTTAAGTTTAAAAATCGCTTATGAATTTTAAAACATAAATAAATTTTAATTTTGTGTTTAAATTTAAAGATTAAAAAATCTTTTAACATAAAATTGATAATGGTATTTTTTTTAAAGAACACTAAATTTGATTAATTGATTTTTTTTTTGCAAAAATGATTTAATAGATTTAAATTTATTTTTATTAAGAATATAGATATGACGCTCATTAGAATAATCCTACCTTTTTCTTAACACTTTTCTAAATTTTCTTTCATTTTTTTGCATAACATGTATTCTCTCTTCGATCAACTTTATTTATGAAAATTGTCATTATAAGCCTATATTTATTATAAGTAGACAATAAAGACTAACATTTGATTGAACATAATTTGTTCTTTTAGTTAAACAAAATTTGGTTAGTGTATTGAGATTGATGAAATTTGAGGTTTGTCTTTGTCTTTTTGGAAATGGAATAAAATTAAACAGAATATATTAAATTGTTGTTTAAGAAAAAAAAATAAATGATCGTTTTTTTTACTCATTAAAAACAATTCTCTTCCAAATTCACACGAAATGTTAAGGGGATAATTTTTTTTTCACACGAAGGAGATATTTTTATTAAAAGAAATTGAAAGTTAAATATTTATTAAAACAGTTAAAAAAATGTTAAAATATAATGAAAAGAATAATTTTATATAAATATATATGTAATACTTAATTTTTCATCTCTTAAAATTTATAATTAATATAAATTACATAATTTAAAAATAAAACTTTGTCCTATTTGATTAAAAATCTTAATAAAAAGATGTTGTTCTACAAATAAACTTTATTCCAAACATTTAACGATATTGACAATCCTTCCTCAACATCTCTACTATCATCTTTTCTTGTATAAAAAAGATTATCACAAATGAAAACTATAACCATCAAAACAAATGGATTAGCTAACATACAAATTTAAACAACCTAAAATTAACAATGTAACCACTAATAATTTCACACACCAGCTCAACTAACAAATGTCTCAACACAAGGCATGAATATCCAAAGCCACCTAATAAACTACTTTCATATATGTTACACCCTCTTATAGTGTTTTTTACATTTTGTTCTCCAAAAACTAAAAAAATATTAAGTTCTTGACTCTTTAATGCTACTAGAGTCTTATAAACGAATTTCACTTCTCACTGCTCTCTCATAGAGACTTACAAGTGAACTTCATCAACTGTACAACCACACATAGTTTATCCGTCATTCGCTCTTGTGAAGCTAACACACCAAGAGTCTTATGAAAGAAGTTCACTCCTCCCTCTCTCTTAGGACTGAGTTTTCAAGTTCTATTTTTCACGACTCTCCTAGAGAGTTTTACGGACAAAGACTCATACCTTTTTCTGAGTCACTACACACACATATATTTATGTTTCCAAACAAGTATATATTAACATGTCATTATAATAACACTAAATAATATCTACTCCACATTTAGACTCATAAAATATTACATCACTTACAAATAAAAAATAAGAAAGAAAACATAAATGTAAGTTCATCCTACTTGCGGTTCACTCCTTCCTTCACCTCTTCAAAACTCAATCCTTAAGATTTTCTCCATTTTCATATGTCATCATTTCTACTAAAATTCGTTCATAAACATAGTCCTCTCATATTTATAAACTTAATATGAGAAATACTATTTATTATTATTATTATCTAATAATAATATCTAATTACATCTAACAATATCCCAATATATTATTTAATTTGTAACACTATAATAATATCCTAATATCTAATAATATCTAATTATATTTTTTAAAATTGAATAATTATTTACCAAATTTCGTGTTTTAAAAAATCTTTTAAAATAAAATAAATATTTAAATTATACTAATAAATAGTTTAATCTTTTACATAATTTTCTAATTATTAAAACTTTTAGGATCTCACAATATAAATATTTTTATATCACTTTTTTTTATGTAAATTCCTTTTTACTCATCCAAATAAAAATAAATTTTTATTTTCTTTTCTTTCATTTTTATCTTCTTAATAGTATATGTCTTTCATCCTGTTCTTCCCCTTATATATTTCTTCTTCTTTTTATTTCACTCCTAATATAAAAAAAGTACTAAGATGAAGCACATGCTAAATAGAAGAACATCTAATATTAAATGAAGATAATTCAATTTTAGGCAACACTTCACTTAAAAGGGAAGATAAAATGTGTTCTCTTATTGTTTTTACATATTTGAGTGTTAAATCTGTAATAAAGTGTACTCATAAGAAAATATTTAATAAAAAATATCGAAAATTAGGTTAAAATTATATATACCTCACATATGTATTTTGGAATTTTAGAGACATTTGTTTTATTTATTTTTTAATTGAGGAGAATTGACTTGACGCAAAGATGGACCCATGCTTTGTACTATGGAAAGACTTATCCTTCCTTAATTTTTCAATATTTTGTTATTATACTCTGTATAGAGTTTTCTTATACTTCCATCATGCTAATTCTTTTAATACTATTTTTCATGTAACCAAGATATATATATTTTGTTTTTATTACCCAGATTTTTTAAAATCCATTGGTGGCTCACACGCTAACACAAGTCTATTCGAAAAAGCTTTCCACTCAAATTTCTTTGCTGTTCTTAAACAATTTTGAAAGGAATAAACACTGAAAAGGAAACAACTATAGCAGTTTTCCTTGTAGTGTGTATGGTTTGGAAAAACTTAAATAACCTTAAAAAATATCTTACTCATTTTAAATATTTAAAAAAACATGAAAGATGAAGTTATTTTAAAAATTACATTCAAGAGAATTTCATGAATGGTTAAATATAAAATTATCAAAATGGGTTAAAATTTGAATCAATCTAGATTCAAATTGAGTTGAATTTAAAAAGTTACCAATTTTAATACGGTCAAAAATAGACTTATTCACTATAAATCTGGATTACTTGGATTAATTCACTAACCACACATAATTTCTTTTAGATTTTTTATATTTTATTTAGAATTATTATTTAATTTTTTAGATAAATAATTTATTTATTGTCTAAAATAAGAAAAGAAAAAAATTAAAATAAATTTGAACTTTTTGAATTTTGATTATGTATTAAAGAAAAGCTAGATTAAAGAAAAGAAGTTATAATGTTTTTTAACTAAGGAAATCAATAAGATAAGTCGAGTTGAACTTAAATTTTTTAAATTTATTAATAAATAAATCGAATTGAATTATTCATGCATAAAAATCGAATGACTTTTTTTTTACAACTCTATTTAAACATCATATATATATATATATATATATATATATATATATATTTATATATATAACTCTTATTTAAAAAAATAAATAAATATACATTATTTCTTAAACCCATTAGTTAGATAAAAAAGTTCTTTTAAAATAATTATTCTTAGATTAATTTGGATGGTGAGACATTAGGAAGTTTCTTTATTGTTTTACTCATAAAAGTTGAAGAGATTAAGGAGTTTCTCTGTTTTTTTATCCATATGTCTGATTTAATTTGATAAAAACTAATCAATA